GGGCGCAGCCCAGTGTCGGGACACCGCTGCCTGCAGCCAGCCGGCCGCATGTCGTTCTCTATCCAACCCCCTCGTGTAGACCGTAGTGCTCAGCCTGATGCTAGGCTGACGCCCGTGCATTCCATGGTACTGTGTTCCGAGCGAGCGTCTCCCATCGAGTTTGCAGTACCCTCGCACCGCTTCGACCGAGCCTCCAGACCAGCTTCAGCATATCCCTCTCCAGAGTACGGAACTTCCGTCCTCCCAATCCGACCTTTGTAAATTTGTCAACGGTTTCTTACCTTCTGCTAGGGTCTTTCTTAATTTGGTTCCTTGTTGCAAGGAATGTGAGCGAGAGCGATAGACCGAAAACCAAGTTGCAAAAACACGAAGGAGTCCAGATAGTCATGTACCAAGCAGAGAGCACAAATGCACCAAGATACCATCCAAATAAGCGCAAGACAATGAACTTGAGTGACAATGCCGATGCTCTCTGGTCACACCAACACTGTATTCAATGCCGCTCCTACTGTCTGGCGCCCAGCGCCCAGCCTACACTACTCAGTCTATCTTCCCTATCTACGTTCATGAGACTGGATCACATAGAAGTTGAAGACCAATGTACGTGACGTCAACACCAATGCCGACCACCGGCATACACCAGGTACGTTCTCTCTCCTCCCCTCATCACCCCTTGGTTCCCCTTTGCATGTGCCTCCTACCCGAAGACCACCATAGCCATCACCTGCCTGCACCCCTGCAGCCCGGTTATGGCTGCTGTGCGCCCGCTGCCTCGGCAATGCCCCTCACCTCAGCGCCCGTGTGCGCGTCCGACCAGCAGTGCACATGCAGACACTAGCGCAGCAATGCAGCAGCGTGTCCGAATTGCCTGCCAAGGCCAGAATGAGGCTGCCTGGGTGAGGCAGTTTCCTTTATGGAAAATGCGACCCTCTGTCTGGCTGCGTGGGCCTGGCCTGGGAAGTTTCCAGTAGCTTCCAGTCGAGCCCCAATGTCTGCACCCAGGCCCAACCCCACTGTTACGGGCCTGGGCCCTTTTCAGTTGGGCACGTCCAGGCAGCCGTCCAGGCCCCAAGGGTTGGCCGCATTCTGTGTGACGACAATGCTGCTTTCTCATTCGTCCGCGGCCACTGCGTGATATGTCGGTCTCCCACTGTGTGTGCCCAGGGCGCAACCAACCGGGGCCCTGGGCTCAACTGTGCAGCGTAGCTGTTGCTTCTGGAGGGAGCCAGCAAAGGCTCACGTTGCTTTGTAACCAACTGGTGTGCTGCAACTGTCTGATTCCCCACATTTGGAAAAATGTCGTAAGGAGGCCTCCCGTGGATATTCAGGCCCACCTTCACTTAGGGCGGGCACGGGGTTGCTGGGGGCCGCAGCCCAGAACACTTGCATGTCTGATACGGGCCCCTCGAGGGCTCATTCCTCACATTGTTCTGTGCCAGTCCGTTTGACACTACACTTACAGTGCCTGTTTGAGACCTTCTGTTACATGCTGCGCCTGCACACACAGGCCATTTTCCAGGCCCTGCGCCCTTCAGCCAAAAAGCCTAGAATTCAGCCTGAAAACAGGGGCCTACAGTCCCTGTGTCGTTTCAAACTAAAAATGGCAAGAGCCTTTTTAGCCTGAAACGAAGGGCTATTTTCGGTCAGAACAACCGGCCCTGAAACTCAGGCACCAAACCAGGGTTTCGGGAACAGGCTATTCTTAGCCTGTATCCACGCCAGCCTCAGCAGATGCTGCAGCGCCAGCCCCTGGCACACTTCGGCATTGGCACCTCGGCCTGGCTGGCCCTTCAGGATGTCAGGAGGCAGGCCGTGGATTGGCAAGAGCAGCCTCCTCGGCCTGGCTGGCCCTTCAGGCAGTCAGGAGACAGGCCGGCAGGCCGTGGATTGGCAAGAGCAGCCTCCTCGGCCTGGCTGGCCCTTTAGGCAGTCAGGAGGCAGGCCGTGGAAGTATATAAGTACCCCCCCAGGCACGTCACGATTCATTATTCAGGAGGCAGTAGTCTTCAGGATTCGGGAGCAGCACTCTGGAGGGAGCGCTGCGTTGTAGTAGTGGTAGCATTAGCTTGTAGTCTTCAGCGCTGGGCGCAGTAGGTAGCTGTAGTCTCCAGCGCTGGGCGCCATAGCTAGGATAGTGTTAGAGAGAGAGAGAGAGAGTTTGGGCGGAGGCCAGGAGTACTGACCTGCAGCGCCGTTGCTCCAGCTTCATCTTCGAGGTACCTGCAGCACAGCGCCCACATCACAGGTTGGTATCTGGTTCGTAACAGTGAGAGAGAGAGTCTTCTTCTTCCTCTTCTCAGTCCCCCCATCTTCTTCTTACCCTCTCAACTTCTGACTTCCCTGCAGTTGCAGACTACGAGAGAAGAGATACCGGGCTTGGTGACATATGATCCAGACTCAACTTTTTGGGGATTCAGACATGGCAACGAGGGACTATTTGGGATTGGTGACCAAGACTTGGTGTTAACGACATTCCCATCTTCTTCCCTCCTTTCGTCTGATCCTTATCTCTTCGTCTGTGTATGTCTGGACCTGGCGCTATCTTCCTGTGTGCAGCGCCAGGCTCCTTCACACTTCGTGATGGATACAATGCATGTTTAGTCTGAGTTCAATCATTGATTGGGCTAGTTAGAGGTACTCTAGCATTCTGCTTCGTTACTCTGCACTACGTGAATGAGGTCAGTCCTGTCAGGTCAGTCTTTGTATTAAAGTCTTCCCTGCGCTCTTCAGCATCTTTATGTATGAATGAGAATGTACATTGCTTGTCGAGATTCTACTCGTACCGCATTGTCTATTCAGTCCTTTTCATCACATTGCAGATTCTCGGTTTATTACGTACATTGCAGATCTGTGCATGTAACACTTTCCCAGGCCTCCTCCAGTGGCATCTCTTGTGGCGTCGATGGTCTGTTTACACCTTTTCTAGACTCTCCAGAGCGTCAGCGGACGGAGTCTTCTATAGAGCTTCTGCTCCCATTTCTCCGTGATAAAGGGTCCTGTGAACCCTGTGAGCAGATCCATGGGAGTCCTCAGTGAGCAGCTTGCTCGCTACAGAGTTCCAGAGGGCCCTGGCCTTATTCCAGAGTTGCGTCGTTGTTGGACAATACAGCAACCAGTGGGTGATGTCCTCCTCTGTTTCCCTGTCGCAGATTGCACAGATTGCATCCAGGGCCTGGCTGTTTACTCTGGCCCTTCGCTTACTCAGCCACTTGTTCACAGGGAGAACCCGGTAGGTTATGAGCCATTGCATGCTTCTAACCCTAGTGATGTGGATGGCCAAGACCAGCCTCCAGGGAACTGCAGCCAGTCCTTACAGACGTCGAACAACAAACATACAGGGTACATTAGCCCAATGGTGGGAGTTCTATCCTTCGTAGTTTCTTTTTGGTCTTTAGAAGTTCCATCCTGTATGGTTTCACTTTAGTGTGTGTGTGTGTGTGTGTGTGTGTGTGTGTGTGTGTGTGTGTGTGTGTGTGTGTGTGTGGTACGAGGCTCCCACAACCGTGCCGCTGCATGTTGTGTCGGAAGATGTGCTTATAAACAACACAGGGAAAGAGCCCGCAGCCCGGGATGCCCATAGAAAAGAATGCTTATAATGTCCAGCTTTCAAAAGCCATGAAACAAAAAAGAAAACCAGTGGCACTGCAAAGTACAACAAGGCAAACAAAATGGCAAGGCAAAGGTCAAGACGCAACACGGCACTTGGACGACAAGCCGCAGCAAAGAACAAAGGGTGGAGGGGATGGGGAAGGCGGGTGGGTGGACAAACAGCACAAGGCAAAAGAATGAGGCCGCAACAACAAGTCAAGAACTAGCACTAGGGCGGTGAAGCAACAGCATTGAACCCAGGCTGGGGGGCATGGGGGAGGCGTGTGGGCAGGCAAACAACACTAAGCAAGAAAAGACAGGACAGGAAGTCAAGAAGCAGTAAGGCAGCAAGGCAACAAGGCAACAAGGCAACAAGGCAGACAAAAGAATAAGTAGCAAAAAAAAAAAAAAAAAACACCTGATATTTGTTTCGTCGGAGTTCCACCGACTCATCAGGAGGCTGAACCCTCGACAATCCGCAGAATCCTCGTATTGGATGGTTTGGGTCATGAACCCTTTGACCCTTGTTGAAGGCTCACTGTCCCCCAAACGGAACACAGCAGCGGGCTGCAACCCAGCGAAGCACCAGGCAACGCTGTTGAGGCAACACGGCTGCTCAGCGCTAAAGACAACTGCAAGGAACGACACAGCACGCGGATGACGGATGGACAGCGCAGCAACCATGTAGTGATGCACAAGGCAACACAAGCAAGGCACCACACGGCAAGGGACGACAGGGCGAGCGGACCAGCAGCTCGGCAACCCTGCAGCAAATCACAAGGCAAAGTAGACAAGACCAGCCTACAAGGCACGCAAGCAGCAAACACGGAAGGAACGACCAGCGGATGGGAAACAAGCCAGCCGAGCAGCGAAGCGCAAGGCAACACCAACAACACGGCCACACCGCACAGTGAACGCATCAACTTGCAGAGAAGCACATGCGAAGCAAGCGGGACAGGCAGTAAGGCAGCGGCCGCGCGCAGATGAGGCAGTCCACACACCCAACACGGTGCAAAGCAGCACATGACCTACTCACATCACGATCGAACCCGGCAAACTGTTGGTTCCCGCCACCCACTGAGCCAGAGAGTCACCCAGACGAACATCTGTCATCACCCAAAGGCAACACAGACATCCCAAACCACGCGGCCCCCCTATGAGTGCTGTACGACCTCCGAACAACAGCCCACCTACTGTTTAGCACTTCATGAGGATGCTCACTCCAACAGACAGAAGGTACTTGGAAAAAAAATGGGGAAAGGGAAAAAACAAGAAAACAGACAGACATACAAAAATTTGATTAAACTGATTGTGTGTGTGTGTGCGTGTGTGTGTGTGTGTGTGTGTGTGTGTGTGTGTGTGTGTGTGTGTGCGTGTGTGTGTGTGTGTGTGAACTTTTTTTATGATGACAGATGCCTTGGAGGAGAACTTTGAGGAGTTTCCGGACATAAGACACCGAGCTTCTAGAAGCCTAGAGGAGATGATGGAGGTTCTTGGGATTAATCGCTCGCGAGTAGTTACTGGCGATGTCTACGGCGATGAGGTTATTGCTGTCGAAATACACTGTCATAACAGCGAATCGATGTTTCAAATATATGGGCATCGTCTTGCAAAAATTATCCAAAACCTTCAGTCACAAACTCGTCATGTCACTAATCTAGGCAACAGGTACGAACGTTTCTGACAAAAGTTAACCAAATTGGCAAATTTTCAATTTCACTCTTTCCTTTTCTTCTATAGACCTGCCTTCATTCTATTCTAGGTAGCAGCAGTTGAGTTCCTTTTCCACCAGCAACTTATATAGACCTGCCTTCATTCTATTCTAGGTAGCAGCAGTTGAGTTCCTTTTCCACCAGCAACTTCGGCAAGTCAAAAGTTTGACAAGTATAGAGTCGATACTCGAACGCTTGCTTCTGTTATGGTTGATGGAACCCATGAACAACCATAGCTTGCTCCTTTGAGGAGGATTGACTGTCAGCAGTGTCAGGCTGGCCGCTCCTTGATTATGTTCCTCTCAGTCTACATGTGAAGACTCGAAAGACTGACCAATTTACTTTTGAAACCAAGGTGACCTGTAAGCACTAGAACTATAGATGAGTCAAAGGAGTACACCCTCCGTTTCCCCATGATGTGCTCCTTTTCCTTTCGGGGTAATAAGTATGTTTCAGTCACGATCGAGTCTCGGATGGGCAAAACAAACACAGCGAGTTAAGGCCATGATTGGATTCCAGTGTGTCTTTGCATTCTGTCACACTACTTTAGTGTGATGCTGAAACGGCCATTTCTTGTTTGGGGGTGAGATATCACACGCATACGATCAAAGGTGAAAATTCCGAAAATTTTTGACACAACTTTATTAATGAGAAAGCAGCATTGACCGAAGAGAACCTCATACACAAGTAGTAAAAGGGCCTTTACCCGATATAGGCCTCAGGCCTTGTAAAAATAGAGCAGCACGGGCCTTGTAAAAGTAAAGCATTGTGAAAAGGTATCTTGCCAGGGCTCAGAAACGTGAAAAGAGGTCAAAAGTCAAGTTCTCTATCAACAGGCACATCTAAATCTAAGGCAATGGGCATTGTCAAAAGACTTACCTGTTCACCAGGAGATGTGTATGTCATGTCTGTTCGAGTAAGGGTGTGTCTGTACGTGTAGGCAGTGTACCTGTTCGTGCAATGGAAAGTGCCTGTTCAAGTAGTAAATGTGTCTGTTCGTTTAGAGTTGTGCCTGTCCGAAAGTGAAGTCAGTAGGCACAGTCCCAGTTCTGGTCTAAGTCAAGGGGTCAGTCCAGATCCAGACTTTCAAGTCCAAATCCAGGCCGAAGTGCCTCAGCAGCAGTTGAATCTCATTGGGACTGTACTGGGACCCATGCAATGCAGGGTCTGGGACAAAGGGAGAGGCTGAATTGAGCCAATGCAGACCCAGCGAGGAGTGGCCAGCACTATAAAAAGAGCTGCCTGCCTCATTCTTCGCCAGATCTCCACTGGCTGCAATGCGTGGAAGTGCTGGTGCACTTCTGCGCTGAGTCAGGAGGAGCAGCGCTGGAGGAGAAGACGCGCTGGAGGGAGGAAGATGCCTGTACGCTGGAAGTGATGCAGCCATAGCTGCCCAGCGAGTTAGCATTAGTAGTAGAGGGTTAGTATGTAGCTATGAGTAGTATCCAGAGTAGATCCTCATGAGTATTGAAGAGTGTGTATGCATCATAGGAGGAAGGGATTGAGGCTGAGAGTGTTCATTCAAGGTTGGCTATGGAAGATACTTACCTGAGTTGGATGTGACCTGCAGAGGTGGCGCTGATGAGTGGTGACCACATTGATGACTTGGAGACTATCTGCAGGGGTAGCACTGATTCACTGGAAGGCATATTGATGAGTTGGCAAGATATTGGTGTTGCGCTGATGAGCGCTGGACTCAGGGGAACTTTGAAACACTTTGTATTCATATTTCTGATAATATAAACTGTGAAACTCGGTCCTCATCTTCTCTATCTTTGTCTATTGTCAGACAACTGTTCATTGTGTGTGGGAGTACGATCCATGGCATGTACACACTTACGTGAGATGGTCCCCAGGACCCATGCAGTAGAGTTACAGAATGGAAGGATGCACATTACTCCTGCAAAAGCCGGTCGCCGGGGGGGGAGGGAGAAGGACGGAAAGGGAGGAAAAGGAACACGTGCGGCCGCATCAGGTGTTTTGAACTTTTGAGTTAAGAAAGGCAAAAAATAACACGAAGTGGCAGTTTTTGGACACGGCTGCAGTTCCAAAAGGCAAATTAAATTTAAATAATTTAAATAAAAGATTATAAAACATAAAATTTGACCCCCAAAGTTACCCAAACCCTAATTTCAGTTTGGATCTGTTGGTCAGGACCTGAAAATGGGGGTCCCTGTTAACCACAAAGTAAAAAATAATGAGAGAAGAAATTATCTAGTAAGAATGCAGCTGTGCCCCCCAATGAGGAGAAGGCAAGCCTGCATGTTTCTCAACAAGAGGCAGCGACCACATTTTTTTTTTTTTTTTAGTTTTAGTTTTTAAATGGTGGTGGCTGCCGCTTATTTGCCGGGCAGGTTTCCATCTCCCCTGTTCCGCCAACCATAGATGTTTAATTTGCCAGACGCCTGGCAGTTTCGGTGAAAAATTCGCCGAAAATGACACTACCTATTAACCACGAGTGTGCTCCAACCAGGTACCCCATCTAGTCTCTTGGCTTGCCCTTTTCTTCCTTCATCTATGGGTTGCAGAATCTTGGTTGCCTAAGTGCCTCCTCTCTTGGCCCTCGGTTTACCCACCATTTTTGCTTAACAGTTCTGGACCCATAGAATGTGCAGGACTGAACTCATTTATTTTATCCCCAAGTATCTCAGCGGCTCTGTCGGAGGCAGTCACTGCATTCCTTCCGGTGTGGTGGCTGGCTTTGGGAGTGGTTCCCGTGGATCCATGAGCCACCACCCCACAGTCTTGGCCCAATTAATTCGCATTTCAGCAGCCATCTGAAAGGCCTGCATTGCTCTAGTAAGTGCTGTGAATGAAGAGTCTGATACTCTGATAAGTACTGTGAGAGCATCTGCAGATAGAAAATTTGTTATTGGGAGGGCCAGCGGGCTAGCCCAGTTGGTAGAGCACGTGAGTGGCATTCAGGAGGTCATGGGTTCGATTCCCCACGTCATCCAGTCAACTCCCCACGGCCCCTGCAGCGCACTTCGAGTTCACCAGCTGAGATAGTCGGCTTGCGCCCTCTCTATTGGTCACAGTAGGGGGTGCCCCCCCTCCCATCCAGCGCGAGGGGTTAGGTTGGACCCAGGTGGGATAGGCTCAACCCTGAGGGGATAGGATCAACCCTGAGGGGATAGGCTCAACCCTGAGGGGATAGGCTCAACCACTAGCAGAGCTAATTTACCCTTTCCACCCATAACCCTTAGTGCATTGCGCCTTCTGTGCGTAGATGTGTTTTTTTGCTGTCTGGAGGTAGCTTGGCATTGTTCCGGCATAGGCTAGGTCCTTGCTTGTCGGATCTGTAGGTAGACCGGTGCATAGATATGGGAGATTGCCATACTACCTTCTTCCCCCGAACATAACGCATATGCGTTGTAGATGAATACAACGCGTAGGGTGCGTTCTATTCGAATACAACGCATATGCGTTCTATTCGAACAGCCTTAAATTTAGACTACAACGCATCTGTGTTCTATAATTCTATTCGATTTTTTTCAAAATTTGAAACTCGAATACGAATTATGCAATGCATATGCGTTATGTTCAGGGGAAGAAGGGTAGTTATGTGAGTAGATAGCGTGTGGTAGGTGGTTAGCTAGTTTTTTTTCTGGTTTTTTTCTGGGATTTGAGGAAATCGCCCATTTTGCTGGTCCTGGGGTATTGATGACCTTTCAACCGACTGGTCCTTTCTTAAGAAGGAGGCTATGGCTTCCACAATCAACAAGAAAATTGGTGCTGCTGTGAATGGATCCCCCTGCCTGACGGACTTGGACATTTGTATTCCTTGGATAGGTGATCATTGACTTGTACCTGCCCGTGTGCGCGTTGTACAGAGCTCTCACCCATTTGCTGAAGTTAGGAGTCTTAAGAGGACCAATTCCCATTTTTTCCGTACGTAATTGCGGGAAGTTCTAATTCACTTGATCATATGCTTTTCCGAAGTAAAAAAAAAACAGTTATCAAGTAATATGATACTAATATCAACTTATCGCTGCATTTATCTTTTTGTCTGTAATGTACGGAATGGACTCGGTCAGTAAGAGAAAAAAGAGAAGAAATTAAAAATAAAAAAATAAAACATTCTCGAAGATAAATCTTCCTGGTATGAAATAATGAAACCCGTTTGGTCAAAGTGGAAGCATGCAGCCGCGATAGTTGGCAGTCTAGTTGCTAGTGCTTTCACTATGATCTTGGAAGTTAGTATGAATCGGTCTGTAATTTTTTATGTCGTTCGGGTCCCCTTTTGGTGCAAAGGGGAAAGGGAGGGATTGAGAGGAAGAGAGTAGAAAGTATAGAGGTATACAGTATGATTTGACAGTTAACCTTCCAAAAGGAATCAATGAATGTCGTCAAGATCACTCTAAGTTCAGTAAGTGTAGTGGCGTGGAGGGTAAAAAACAGGGTAGAGCAGTGGTACATCCTTTCGAAAGGAAGTAATCAATGTTGCTGTTTCAGTACCTCCTGGCCTTGACGGGGAGAGGCATAGAATGGGTACTACTGATGTTAGGGGCGCCGGACCCAGTTTCCAGCTTTAGTAGTAACAAGACAATCCCCGTCGCAAGAGGGGGGGGGGGAACACATTGTAATCACAATTATGGTGCTGCTGATATGTCCTCATCACTTGCGTTTACTGTCCAGTCTGCTGGGAGACTTATGCATCTGACAATGAGAATGGATTGCTGCTCCTTGTTGTTTCCAACATGAAAATGCGAGCTCGTGAAGGAGTTGATTGCTGCTGCTTGTTGTTGCGAACATTAAAATGTGAACTCGTGAAGGAGTTGAACTCTACCTGCTGAATTCTGAAAGACAGACATCTCGTCAAGAAAGATCGGAGGAGCAGTGGAGTTCGATTTCGTGCCCTTTCTGGGGGCGTCATACCCTTGCTTGAGATCTTGAGATGCATCTGACAATGAGAATGGACTGCTGCTCCTTGTTGTGAACATTAAAATGCGAGGTCGTGAAGGATTTGAACACGTCATCTCGTCATGATGTGTGGACCATTCAGCATTCAGCCAGCAGGCTGGGCTCCAATGGAATGAATTTGGAGAATTTGGATTGTGTTTATTTGCTTATTTTTGGAGGGACTCGAACTCTTGATCTGATGATGTGGTTAACAGCAGTAAGAAGATGTGTGGATCGTTCATTCAGCATACGTGCAGTTTGTGCTCGTTGTCATATGTCTGGTGCAGTTTGTGCTCGTTGTTATATATCTGGTGCAGTTTGTGTTCGTGCCATGTTCGAGATCTTGAGATGCATCTACCGATGTGAATGTTTCGCTCCTCACTGTCATACCACTGTACCTAGCAGGATTTGGACTCTTAATCTGGTGATCTGGTTATCAGCAGCAAGATGTGCCCAGGATTCATTCAGCATTCAGCCAGTAGGGAGGGGTCTAATGGATTGAATGTGGAGTGTGCTTCGTTTGTTTGTTGAGTAGTTTTTTTGGAGATTTGAATTGCATTCATTCGTTTGTTGAGTGATTGGAGAGTCGGAACTCGCGCACCAGGCGGACTGAGCTGAACTAAACTGAACTGATTGTCGAGAAACGGGGTATCGAGTGGGAAACAGAAGTGATTGAACATGGAGGACCCCATGAAAGACACTGCAAATCATATTGTCTCATCTTTTCTGGCCCCAGGCATCTCTGCTGATGTGGTGCACGCACAACAAAGTATTACAGGAGGTACCTTCGCTGAAACCGAGTGCCTCTGCTGACGTGGCACCTTTGTTGACGTGGCATCTTTTGATGACGTGGCGCCTTTGCTGGCTGATGCATTTTGCTGGCGAGGTTCCTTTTGGTAACGTGAGGACTAAGTGAAAAAAAAAAAAAAAAAAAAAAAGCAATGAATCTTGGGGTAGAGCATCTGGACTACTCTTCGTAGCCCCTCTGTCGTAGGGCCCTGCCAAAATGTCCCGGTCCTCCGCGTTCTCCTCCTACATCATAGCCTCCTATCCCTCCTCTATCGTAGCCTCCACCTCCTCTTCGCCGTCCTCCTCCTCCATGGTAGCGGTCTGCTCCTCCATCTTAGCGCCCTCCTCCTCCATCTTCCGCCAGGCTCCTCCTCCTCCATTCTTCCCGTGGTTCTCCTTCTCCTCCATCCTTCTCGTAGTTCTCCTCCTCCTCCTCCTCCTCCTCCTCCTCCTAGATTGTGACCACCTCCTCTTCGTCCTCCTGTGTCATGGCGGCGATGTGGCCCTGCCACCCTCCTCCATCCCACCGTCGTCCTCCTCGCCGTGCTCCTCCTTTGTAGTGCCCTCCTCCTCTTCTTGCTAGTGCTCCTCCTCCTCCTCCATCATAGCCTCCCTTTCCTTTTCCTCATCCGTTGTGGCCACGTCCTCCTCCTCCTTCTCCATCATAGTCTTGTCCTCCTCTGCATCGCGGTGCCCTCCTCGTCCACCCTCTTCCACCCGCCACCTCGCTCCTCCATTGTAGCTTCTTGCTCCTCCTTATGCTCCTCCATCTTAGTGCCCCCCTCCTCCATCTTCTGCCACACTCCTCGTCCTCCAGTCTCCTCATGGTTCTCCTTATCCTCCATCCTCCTCTTCCTCCCGAAAAGGGGACAAAAAACGGCTGTGCACCTTTCCCATCTTCCAGCAAAAGACCGCTGTGCACATTCTCATTTCCTCATGTTGCACATTTGGTCATTCCGGTGCACATTCTCATTTCCTCATGTTGCACATTTGGTCATTCCGGAGCCCGAGTTGCTTTGCACTTGTGTTCGAACACTGGAGAGAGGACCACCAAAAACACAAAGACGGCACGACAGAATAACAAATGGCAGGGCGAATTCGGGCGCGAGGCAAAAACAGAAATTTGCGACCTCCTCCCCGTGCGCCCAGGGGAAAACAAAAAACGCAAAACAATAACGCGGATTGCCCTGAACCTTTCGCCAAGCACACCCGGGGGGCAACGCTCGTTCCCCCTCCGCGACCTTTCGAGAACCGCACACCATGGGCCCCCGGAAAAAAACAACTGCGGTCCCCCGGAAAAAAACGGTTGCGCCCCCCCGGACAAAAAAGGCTGCGGGCCCCCGGGAAAAAAAAGGCTGTGGGCCCCAAAAAAGGCTGCGCCGCCCTGGAAAAAAAAGGCAGCAGCCCCCGGAAAAAAAAGGCTATCTCTCGCTCTGCTTTTTCTTGGACCCACACATCACCGCCGTCTTTTCCCAACACTGGCGAGACCCGCTGGGATCTCGCGTGGAAGCATCATGCGAGACCCGCTGCTTCTTTAAGAAGAGTAATAAAGAGGGGAAAAGTGGGTGTTTCAACCACCACGACCTCCGAGCCTCTTTTTGCCAAGGTGGAACTGAGCTGCGTGCCAAGCTTCGCCGAAGCAACAGCGCGACCTCTTCTTGTTTTTGTTTTGGCTGGTGCTGCCAGCCATCTTGGTCCAGTGGTGCCCGGCCTATTTTCATTTTGAGTTTGCCTGTGAAAGGTAGTGGTGGTGAAACGAGTGACCAGGGAAGTGACCGGACCACGCTTTGTGCGGCGCTCCATGTGCCTGCGCTAGCGCAAGTTACCGTGATAGGGTAACTGAGCAAACTCTAATTCATCACTGGTGATGGTGATGCAGGGGAGCATCAACAGCCTATGGTTGTTTGAGTTCGCCGATAGAACTCGAGCATGATGCATAGCTTACCGGGCCCATGTCTCAAAATAGAAGCTTTCCAGATATTGCCTACATAAGGCGAGTTCTTTCTCGGCCTGTCTTCAGAGTCGCGCCGCGCCCCGGTAGCAACTTTTGCTTTCATCCTTTCTTTCTATTCTTGGGGGATGAACGCCCTGTCTCTACCCCGCTGCAGCCTCTTCTTTCACTTCTCTTCCTCTCGATAGTAAGAACGTCTTTTTCGTATTTTGGGAGCATCTGTTCGTGCGCGCTAACCAGGCCAAGTTTGAGAAATTCGTAATTATTAGTGCCTTACGGGCCAGTGTGCTTCGTATCTGTAACCGAGTTTGGAACAGAGACATCATGGCAAAGGAGGCACCGGCAGATGCCGACATACAGATGTCGGGCATCAATGCTACAGAAGAATAGCGGATTCAGGTTTGACTACAACAGTGCTTCATTCAAAGGAATGTCCCTCAACTGGAACAGTACCTGGAAGTGGACACTGACGAAGAAGACACGATTGACGGAGTAGTGCACGAGGGATTTCAACAAAATTCTGATCCAGTGGTTTGAAGGATCACACAGTAGTGTTTATCTTTGGCAGTAGGGGCCAAAGAATTCTCATAAGCTACAGTTTGTAAGGAATCCGGCGGATGGGCACTCGAGTCCAGAACTCGAAGCGCTAGGCCGTGGTTCCACTCGTGTGGAAGGTAGATCTATGATATCATACATGGCCAGATGGATAGAGGCAAAGACTCGGATGATGGGGAAGAAACCGGAGATTAATTTTCTCCTAGACAGACAGAAGTACAAAGTCATAATCAGTTCCTAGTTACCGAAAAGTGAGTGGGAAACATAGACGGACAGAGAGAGAGAAGATAACAACTGGGTTTTGACCATAAGATTCCCTTTGTACAGCCTGTCCTTTATTCACACGATGGTGAAGAAGGCAATTGGGCCAATAATTAAGGAATACGAGTCAGTTGATGACGGTACCATGCTGCATTTGGTTAATGTGAAGCTTGGTATTGACAAGCAGTACGAGTCCAGATTCAAGTATGTCCTTACTTACGGTAGGACTAGATACGGGGTCGGCAGATTTAGTCGATAGTAGAACTCTGTGGTGCTGAATTTCTCGTTGGTATGGACACCAGACTTCGGAGTGTCCGGACAGAAAGGAGGACTCGCAGGAAGGCTCTTCATCCAGACCGGACAGGATGGATCGAGTGGCGCGCCATCCTCGAGAGGGGAATTTAAGGCAGTCCAATCAGGGAGGCGATTGTACAATGCTGAACACTCCCTCAGAGGAGGATACTTCTGCAGCCACTCCCGCAACAACTCCGTCAGCGGTACCAGCGGGCGGCCCCACACTACTGACCCCGTCAGTCGAACCTCGCTTCCCGACACCGCTGACAACTTCAGCATCCCTCTCAGGGATTTCCTCGAATAGTGCACAGGGAGGCCTCGTGGGCCTGATCCCAGGCATTCCGTTCACATCGGGAGGGCAGCAAATCCCGGGAGGAGTTCTGCGCCCGTCAGCCATGTCCAGGGGGATGGATTCCCAGGCCCCAGCAGCCAGGGTCCCATCCACCACGATCCCATCTCATTCCATGGGGGGATCAGGATCAGGCAAGGGACAAAACGGGCGACAGAGACTTTCCCCCCCCCGCCAGCTAGGCAGAGGAAGAGCTTCTGCCATGCTGGAGAAGAGATCAGCTGAGCAGGCTGCTTCGGCCTCCTCCTCTTCTGCAGCACTTGTCTCCCTTTCTTCAAGGGGGCGAGGGAATGTGGGGGGACGAGGAGGAGGAGGAGGGAATCGCAGGAAGGGAAAGTCAAATCTGAATATTTATAATCCTACCTCGCCCATATCTCCTGGACTTGGTGTGACCTCAATTCAAGGTAACCTCCAGGTCTCACCATCGAAATACACCAAAAAGGAGTTGACCGTACCTGCATCAGCCTCTACTGCTGAGCAAGGTGCATCGTAGGTCTCTTCACTGGTCTCGTCTTTTGAGAATGGTTTGAACTGGGAGGTTTCTCTCGCACAAGGTATGGGCGGGCAAACTCGAACGTCTCACCAAGATGTCAGACATCAGGAACCCTCCCTGATGGTTTCCTTATCCAAGGAACAACATCTCAATGAGGTAAACTTCACTTGGTCTATGGTAGTGTAATTTAGCAAAGCAGGGATGATTTATGAAAGTGAGGTGAGTGTGTCAGGATTTGATCTCATGACGGGTTTATTGACAGGTACATGTGCGTAGTACTGTGTACCAACCATTCACGCACATGGGCTGGTTGGTCTATGATAGTGTAATTTAGCAAAGCAGGTGTGATTTATGAAAGTGAGGCTTTGTAGAAGACATCTTTCCAAAGTGTGAAAAAATACTGCAAAGAGACCGACTATTGAACGTGCGGCAATCTCTTAAGGGTTTTGGGTTCCGAGGATCGAGGGTTCACGGGGATTCCATAGTTGAGGGGTTAGGGTTTAGGGATGTTATAGGGTTGGGGGTTGGGGGGGTTAGAGGGTTGAGGGTGTAGGGTGTAGGCGCCGGGGTTCGAGGGTTGAGAGCTTAGGATTGAGTGGTTTAGGGTTTAG